AAATATTAACAATCATTTTAGTATCATGTAAATAGATTATTAAAGAAAATTATATTTGAATAATTTACATTAACTAAGCATTTCTAGAAAAAAAAATAGTATTGTAATAAATAAATTTGGCTGGAAATGACATGAGTAATAAGGTATGTATTGATCAAATTAAATGTATATAATATCTTTAGTAACAATAAATTCTGTAACAGAAATATATGTGAGAGAATCTCATGTATGTGTGTAATATTTGGTATCATTATTTTTTTAAGAAAGAAAAAAATTATAACATTTTAGTAAATATTTCGAAAAGTTAAGGGATATTTTAAAAGAGTAGATTAGATGATAAATAAAAAAATAAATAAATAAAAACTAAGACTAGTCTTTACAAAGCCTGCTTTCCAGTTGCCACCACAAGACGGGCCAAAGTTAGGAGAGAAAACAAAACACAGAATAATCTAATGAAGTTTAAGATGTATTTTTCTGCTGCGACTCTTCCAGTAACGCCACGCAACTAGACAGTTCAAAAGTCAGTCACTCATTCGAGAGAAAACAAAATACAAAGAAAAGTATAATGAAGTTTAAGATGTATCATCTGCATGCTACTACGATTTCAGGAACGTGTGTCCTATGGGATTGACATTTCAAGTATAACAAACTTGATAGCTTGATAGTTGTTATTATTCTAGTAGCGTCACCTATGCTCTAGTTGAAATTGTCAAACTAAAAATAATTCAAAATGCTTAATTTGATGCCCCTCAATTAGTGCAGTATAAGTCGCATAATTAAATTTAAATGTAATGCCCCTTGTCTTTACAAAATAGTTTGTACAAAAAAAAAGTTTTTACAAGAAAACTATAGCTGAAAGGCTGTACTACTTTCCACTATTATTTTATTCGACTCATTCACATTTTTTATAGGGAGAATTTGGTGAATATACAAAATAGAAAGAGAAATTAAGAATATAGCTATGATTTTGACATAATTCAATCGATAACATTTAGCCTACAAAAGGTCCGGTTTTGCCCTTATTAAGTACAAGTTTCCGGTTACACGAACAGCGGTGGAAATTACATGTGTTTGTCACATGGAATAGTAAGCTTCCGTGTTCCGTATGGAATAGTACTAAGTAGAAGATATTATTGGATGAGGTTAATGGAACAACGAAATAGAAGACTAAAGAAGCGAATGAGATGATCTGATTTGTATAAGTAGCGGATGAGATGATCTTAAATACTAACAACCAAGAAAAACTTCTACTTACAAAATCTAAACCCTAATCAGCGATGTATAAACCCAAATAAAATCTATATAACGCGAAAAATCATTACTGTTGAGATTTGTGATAATGAAATCAATAAATTATATATGCAATTTCAGAGTTAGGATAACAAGTCAAAGAAAAGAAACTTACAATAGGGTATTGGAAATACCATATAAAAGATGAATTTATACAATCCACGAAATAGGTTTATATTACAACAGATCAAACAAAATGACAGAGAAGAGTATTATCAAATCTGGAAACATAGCAAAATGTTCTTTTTCAAAGAAATAGTATAGAAATAGAAAACTACATCTTAAATAGTATAATAATATTACATGGATAGCCACAATAAATAGCATATACTATACTATACTTCATATAGTATAGTCCGCGATTCCATCTCCTTCTCTTTTTCAAACGTGGCCACCTGCACTCACCGGTCTGCCGTTGTTATTCATACCACCAACATAAACTTATTAGCTTGAAATTTCTTTTGGAATACGAATCTCTGAATGTGAATCTAAGATTGCAACTTCACCTCACAGCCAATGTGGTCCATTCTTACTCGTGCCTTTCAGTTTCAGAACCCCAGAAACCTTCTCCTTCTCTCACCACACAAGACTTGGAATTTTGTCTTCTTTTCACATCGCCGTGAACCCAATTACTTCGTGGATTTTGTAAATCTGAGGTGATACATATTCAATTTTCATCTTTAATCTATCAAAAGTTAGCTTCAAATGATATGTGAACAACAAAGAACCACGATTTATCTTTTATATTATCTAATTATTAATTTTAAATTATTTTGGTTACAGGTTTCATTGGTTGTTTAAAAGGGCACAATTGTATTATTATAGAAAATATATGCTGTATCGTTGTTAAGTAGGTAAAAATGTTAGATAGTGAATTATAGAATTTTTTTACGTTATAGAGTGCAATTTCCCTTTTTTATACTTATTGGTTTTTTTTTTTTTTTTTTAACATTCATTCCTTCCATTGTTCTTCCTCCTAAAGGATACCTTTTTAGTTAATTATAAATAAAAAACTACTTTGGACTCATATTATGTTATAATTTTTTACACTTGTCCAAAACAGTTAAGGTGGTATTTGTTTTGATTTTTTTTTTGACATTCAAAAAAATGTAAGTAGAAGGTACATATATATAAGTGTTTCAAAAAAACTTAAGTACATATATAAATTGGCATCTAAAACAATCCAATGGTAAACAAAATAGTTTTTACAATAAAACTATAGCTGAAAGGCTTTACCACTTACCACTAGTATTTTATTCGACTCATTCACATCTGTAATTATAAAAACTACTTTGGACCCATATTATAAGTAGAAACAAACGTCTATAAATACTGGTTGTTCAAAGTTCATAAGTCATCACTTCTTAAGTCTTATAACCAAAAGAAGAGAGAAAATGGCTTCATCAAAGCTACTTGTGATTAAGCTTTTTGCATTCATGATGCTATTCGCAGTATCCCATGCTCAGTCATTTTCTCCAGGTACGTTGTTTACATAAACGTAACTTATACTAGCGCTATGTTATGCATATGTAATCCACTCTCTCTTTTGTATATCAATATTCAATATTATTATCGATTAGTATAGTAGTGGTAGTGGACGTTACAACCTTTTACGTATATAAAATAAAAAAGCACATGATTTATAGTTTCTCTGAAGAGGTTAGGCTCCACATCTCAGTGCCTTGTATATTTCTGTAGGTCGGAAACTATTGCACTACATTCCTACTCCGGAGTTTCCTCCGGAGCTGCCACCGGCGTACTCTCCTACTTCGGAGCCCCCACCATCGTACACTCCAACTCCGGAGTTTCCACCGCCTTACAATCCTACTTCAGAACTTCCACTCTCCTACACTCCAACTCCGGAGCTCCCTCCGTCCTACACTCCAACTCCGGAGTTCCCTCCGTCCTACACTCCAACTCCGGAGCTCCCTCCGTCGTACACACTAACTCCAGAGCTGCCACCATCGTACATGCCTACACCAGAGATTCCTCCCCCACACTTTTCTGCTCCTTCGCCTGCGCCTTATTAATCCAAATTATTGCGGCTAATGCATGAGAATTCAAACTATCGCACACATGAAATAAAAAAAATGGATATTGCTTTTTATTATCAAATAAAACAGGGTCTGTCTATCTACATTTTGATCACTATTTGCTACTGAATAATAAGGTTGCCGTTTTTTTCTGTTTTGTATAAGGCTAGAGCAACTATATTGGTGAATTATATTTTTCAAATTTGCAATCAATAAAATTTTAATATTCTAATTATGTTATCAAATTAAAGGATACGAGCACAATTTAAACTCTTTTTTTTTCATTTCATGCCTATTGGCGTTCCAGAAGTTCTGGAAAAGGAGAATTTTGCCTACAATTATAAACATACAATTCATGGGGAATTGAAGAAATATATCAAACTGAGTGCCAAAAATTATCAAAATCTTTTTTACTCCTCTTTAAACTTTCTATTCCTTTTTGCACAGGTGTGAATTACTTATCTCATCCAATCTAATTAAATATGAAAAATAGATTAGTGATTTATATGGGTTTGGAAGGAATTTTTTACACTTCAATTTGTAGTCATGTGGATATGAGACTATATTTTAGGCTTTATTTAAATACCTAGAGAAAATGTCAATTCATAAAACATATATCTTTTTGTGAATTAGTCTGAATCTTTTCATAGACTCTAGATATCTCATGTTACCCCAATTCATAAAATTCACGGATGTACTAACGACGGTATCCTTGCCCGTACGCATATGATGACCTCGTTAATGTCTAAAACAGCCGTGAGATTGTAGCCTCTAGATTTTCTTGTTATATTTTATGTTGAGTTCTCTAGAGAGTGGCAAATATATCATTCTTCAAGTTTTAGAGCTTATTTTCTTTTGTCTGGTCTTTGTTGTATGACTTTTTTATTTATAGTTTTATGTAAACACCTACGTTTAGAACTATGCTAAGTGCTAGTCGGATGAAAATTTCGGATCTAGAGGATTATCAAAAAAATTAGAGATTAAGTGGAGGATAATCAGGATTTGGTTTTCAATACGATTTTAAGTGCTAGTCACCTTTTTATCGATTAAACGGTTTTCTGATTAATCGAATCGATTTAGGTAAAATCACGGCGGTTGGCTCTCATCTAGTGTCTAGTCAGACAATTAATCGGCTAAGTGCCCATGTTTTCCAACAGAGATAAAAACTAATCCCTAATGGACCAAGACTAGTTCGTATGTCGGTGTTCTACCCTAATTCTCTTCGAGTTACAAGCTAGCTACTCTGTTGTGTGTATCAAATTTTACATTTGGAAAAGGTTACATTCTGACATCTTAAGCCAGTGGGGTCTAAATCAACTGAATCCTCAAAAAAACCATATTGAAAGTTTGTGGTAGTCTAACATTCATTATTGTATTGGTACATTCATCTATGTATATTATGCTTTTTTTTTCTTTTTTTAAATATTATATTATTATGCCTTCTTAGTTTATTTTATTATGTAACCTTTATTTTATTGCAACTTAAAAAAAATGTCTTGTACGTTCAAAATTTACGGGTCCACTTTAAAATTTAATTTATTGGATATATATATATATATATATATATATGTTTTTAATAGATATATATTTTATTTTAATAGATATATATTTTATTTGCTCATATATTTTTCGTAGCTTTGTTTCAATAAATAGATGTAAACAGAAATATCATTATGATAACAGAAATTTCATTTTTCATAAATAAACTACGACACGTATATAGTGGTTGCCAACTTACCAGTAATTAAGCCTCAGTTCAAAAAAGAAAAAACTTACCAGTAATTGAAATCGCACAATTCGAATCATATATTCCCTAATCCAGGGTAAAACTGCAACATATTATAACATAGATCTCACAAACATTCCATATATGTATTTATATATAACCAAGACCAAATGAAAAAGCACCACAAATATCAGCGAGCAAGCATTTTTCACTCTCCAGATTCATGTGGCCAAATTAAAACTTTCATGGCGAAATCGTTTTCTCCTCTTATCCGTTTGACCGCAGCCAGGTGGATTGAAGCAGCTCGGAGGAACTGGAGCGTACGAAGGACCCTCGTAGGATTGGGCCGGTGAATCTTGAAAGAACTTCCCATCTGAACACATATTCTATTAATTAACCATATAGTAGTAAAAATACGACTGATGCGAAATAATGATATACGAAACTGTAATAAATATATATTGTATAGTATAAACATCTTAAATTTCATTTTATGTATATGAAAAAAAGTACCTGGAGAAAAGGTTCGAGCATGGGTGATAATGGAAAGCGCCAAGAATGAGAGAAGCATCACCACCACATAGAGCTTCGATGAACTTGGTATCTTAGCCATTTCGCTCTCTTACTTTTATCTAACAAGACTTGGAAAGTGATTGGTATTTATAGACTAGAATATAGTTTTTTTTTTTTGAAACACGACTAGAATATGGGGTTAAAACACATTTTTAATACAATAAATAATTCCTCTCTGGCCTTCACTACCATGGAGTGTCCATCATTCAGCCTCAGGCCATTATATGGTCAGACCTTAATCCTAATTCAGTCAAAGAATTAAAAGATTTTGTTCATTAATAACTAATAAATTAATTGTTTTATTTCTCATCTGAAAACGAGGTAAATTTTCTGGTGCCATTGTCTACTTTACAAGCACGTTATTACTTGTGGGGAATTTTATTCTAGCTCTGCTTTTTGTTTTATTTGACTCTTCCTACATCAAATATCAAAGGGGAAGTTTAATCCCAAATTAAATCCAATATTAGAAAAATTGTAACTTAACTCCTATTTAATACTATTTACTAACATCTATTAAAAACCAAGGAATGATTTGTAGTCTCTATTGGAAGATGTGACTTTCAGGCACGTACCTAATATCTTGAATTATATTTTACAACAATAACCAGTTTTGCGGGTTTTCGAGTGGACATGGTCTAGATCCGTTAATGGCTTCTCTTGAAGCTTATCTTCAGTGTACACAAATTTCTAGTTTCCATACTTGAAAGGAACATCATTTGTCTTCATCAAATTTTCATAGGACAGCGACGCATTGTCGATATTAGGCAAAGAAATGCGAATATAATCATCAACAAAAACCGAAGGAGGGATAAAAAAATATAAGCCATAAGTTTTCTCTACCGCTAAAATAGTATGACTCCCTGGGAGTAACAAGACATTTTCGTGTGATAGCTATAAGCCTATAACTAACTCTGTACTATCTTCAATACATTATTTAAAATACTTTGAGAAGTAATTAAACTAGAAGATCATGGTTCTTTTCATGTATGATTTTTTTTAGTTAGACATTCTTATAGAAAATTATAAAAGTATTTTTTTATAACTACTTTAATCATAATATTTTTTTCATTTTAAATAGAAATATATATATATATATATATATATATATATATATATATATATATATATATATATATATATATATATATTAAAATTCTAACAATTTTTTTAATTTTTTTAACAAAATCACAAGTTGTAGAATTTCATATAATATTTTCACTAATTTTTTAATTAATAATAAAATATTATTATACATTAATATCAGTTATCATTTATAAAGGGAATAATAAAACTTCTATCATATTAATCATAATCTCTTATATTAAAATAATTATTATACTGAACTAAATATGATAAAATTATATTGAATTGGTATATTAATATATTTTATTTCATAAATATTTATATTTATGTTAAGAATATAATATGTTAGCAAAACTGATTAACGTACTAAATTATATAATACATGTATACAAATTAGCATATCTTAAACTTTATACATATAACAATATTATCTAAAATTAATAAAATAAAGAATTGCTAAAAGATAACCCAGAGCTTTAAAGTATGTGTAAGAATTTAGCATAGCATAAATACAAATTAATTTTAAATATACTGATTCATGTATATATTGATTGGTTTAATAAGTAAATGAAAATCCAATAAGATAATTATATAATAAGAAACTATAAATAGATTTTTATTTGAGTTTTTTATGTTGTTGAAAAAAATAAAAAAACGACAAATATATGTGACGGTTTGAAATAATTGATTAATTACGACATGTAAATAATAAAAATAATTGTACTTAAATAGTTATATAAATATTTAAATATATAATTAACATTAAAAATATATATCACTAATGATGTACTATATAATATATATATATATATAAATAAAATGAAACTCTACGTGGCTGCGTTGATCAAAGTCTGGTACACATTATTTTTGAAATATAATAAGCACTTCAGTTAGAAATGTGAAAATAATGTGGTTATAAATAAATGAATTTGGTTCTAATAATGTTTATATGATTTGAAACATATACATATGCATTACTTTTGAAGTTTAATATAATAAAATAATCACTTCAGTTTAGATTTTTTAGTGTTTTCACACTTATCGAAAAGTATGTTTAATCATATTATAGATGTTAAAGTTTTTACTAAAAAACATAATATAATTTAATCTTTGTAAAATATTTTTTTCTTTCTAAAATATCTATTTTAATGGAATGGTGGGAGTATTAGTTTAGAAGTTCCACAAAAAGCAAAAATAAAAATGCTAACAAAGAAAACGTAGGGAGCCCATTAATTATGTCCAAAATCAAGGCCCATCATTTGCATCTTCAAAACACTATATGTACATAGTTCGCTATCTTAGGAACCCCCCCCCCCCTCCCCTGCTTGTACGTTCTTTAATTTTTTTGTGAGATTTTTTAAATTTCTTTTAGAAATAAAGTATGTTCTTTAATGCTTCTACAATAAAAAGGTCTAGGATTCATGAATTATAGAGAAATCAAATAATGCAATTAATGAATAAATATTTTATAGGATATTTTCAACGTGCCAAAAGAAATACTATAAAAATAATCCTATCAAATGTGATCTTAATTATAAGATAACTTGTAATGGTATAGTTAAACATGAATATTCATAAATATGTAAAATTAACAGTTATAAATTCGTCTATATAATATTTTTTTAGTTTGTACTCATAGTGACTAGCATTCAAAATATCATATATAAATAACTTCATCTTACTCATAGTTTTTTAAAGATTCAAGACTAACATCATATAGTATATAACTAAAAAAAACATATAATATATAACTAAAATCAATTTGATTCTAGTAATTATACTATTATAGCAACATAATTCTTCATATACATGACAAATTTTAAATTTTTTTTCTTTTTTTTGTGTGTTTACTATCTTAAAGTATGTAAAAGATTATATTCATAAGTATTATAAGTTCATATTTTAGATTTGACCTACCAGTCTATATTTTGCTCTGGTCTCTATCTTATTCCAGTCTATAAAAAATGTCATTTATACACATTTCACGTGAATTAAAAAATGATAATATATATTAGTATGCTTTCATTTAATATATAATTCTTTAAAAAATGATTTCAATTTTTTTATTGATTGTTCAAAAATATAATAAAGATATTATATATGAAACTGTAGAATGACATATTTTATAAAACACAAAAATAATGATAGCCTCACATTTAATATGAAATAGATGGAGTATATTTTATCTGGTTTATGTTGAAGTATTATTAGGAATGGAAAGGAATCTTTGACAAAAAAAGAATGAAAAGGAGCAAAAGATATAAATTGTCGGGATTTTCGTAATTTTTTATGGATTTAGAAAATTTTGAAGAACCTACAAATCAACCATATTATATTAAATGCCTGACCCAATAAATAAAGTAGGACTACCTGAATATATCCAGCAATATTTATTATTAGTACTAATATTACATGTCTTTATTTTTGCATGTGTCATCAGCTTTGTCGGCAAACTGAGTACCACTTTGATCTTTTATTTTTCCTTTTGCATTTCTGCTTTTGTTTAGTGTTGAGATCCACTATAGCAACTTTATTTCATTTAAATTAGGGAAAATCGCATAAAAAACCTTCAAGGTGGCAACCACTTACACTTTAAACCCTGAGAGTATTTTACAAGCACTTTAAACACTCAAGTTGGCAAATTTAGCATATTAAACCTCCAATCTGACTTACTTGTACATCAAGTTAAAAATGTGACCGGTACTGTTCAAAAGCGATGACGTGTCGGTTTTTTTTTTTAAAAAAAAAAAAAATTTACGAAAAAATAAATATAAAAATACAGAAAATATTAAAATTCATTAAAAATCAATAAAAATTCTTCAAAAATTGAAAAAAAATCAGAAAAAATTCAGAAAAATCAGAAAAATCATAAAAATTAAAAAATCGAAAAATAATTAAAATATTTTATTAATAAAATATTAAAAATAAGAAAAACTTAAAAGAAATTATAAAAAATCCCAAAATAAGAAAATTCAAAAAAATTTAAATAAAAAAATGAAATTTAAATAAAATTAATATAAGAATAATAGATCAAATAAATATAATTTCAAGAATAAATAATTTTATTTGTTTTATAAAAAAACGAGAAAACACTATATATTTATAAAAAAGAATCATTATCTTCAAATGATTCTCGTGAACCAAATCAAAGCAAACAATTTAAATTCCAAGGATTTTTATGAGATTTTCCCAATAATCTAATTATCTTCAAATGATTCTCGTGAACCAAATCAAAGCAACAAACTAAATTCCAAGTCTTTTAGCACCTAGACTTTCACCTGCATAAGTTTTTTTTTTTAAATTATATTGTTATTTGTTTTTTGTGTCACTATTATATATTATATATATGTCATCGTATAATTGAATGTATATGATATATACCATCAAATGATTCTTGTGAACCAAATCAAAGGAAACAAGTTAAAATCCAAATCTTTTAGCAGTTATTAAAATACCCTATATTAATCTAGTTATAAAATTCAGAAAACCTTGACTAATAAGCAACAAAATGAGAACAAAATNTCTTGTGAACCAAATCAAAGGAAACAAGTTAAAATCCAAATCTTTTAGCAGTTATTAAAATACCCTATATTAATCTAGTTATAAAATTCAGAAAACCTTGACTAATAAGCAACAAAATGAGAACAAAATGACTTGGAATTTAATTTGTTTGCTTTGATTTGGTTCACGAGAATCATTTGAAGATAATGATTCTTTTTTATAAATATATAGTGTTTTCTCGTTTTTTTATAAAACAAATAAAATTATTTATTCTTGAAATTATATTTATTTTATCTATTATTCTTATATTAATTTTATTTAAATTTCATTTTTGTTTTATTTAAATATTTTTGAATTTTCTTATTTTGGGATTTTTTTATAATTTCTTTTAAGTTTTTCTTATTTTTAATATTTTATTAATAAAATATTTTAATTATTTTTCGATTTTTTAATGTTTATGA